AAAAAAAAAAAAAAAAAAACCAATGAGAAGGCGCGTAAACGCTCGTGCAATATCCATAAACATTCTACTTAAGAAAGCACCACAGGCCACGAAACCGATAAATTTCCAAGCCTCGATAAAAGAACACCGGTACGCGTAAACGATTGTGACACGTGGAAAACGTTTAAACGTCTGAGACGTTCTCAGCCGTTTCGAGCTGAAATAGCGTTCACCGGTTGCAGATTGCCCGAGGGTTTTTTCGCAAAGTCGGCAATTACAGCGAACTGGAGTCGCCGCGTACGCGCATACGTCGTGCATATTCACGACGCCTTTTCGTCGCGATCGTGCGCGGACGTCGGCAATTGACGTGCCGATAAGAATCTGCCGATAAGGCGGTAGGCAAAGAGAGGATGACGGTATAATCGGAAACGTTACATCGTCGCGGGAAAGGAAATCGTATAAATACGTGATCCAGCCGGTGGCTGACGGATAACCGTCACCTCTGCCGGGCCCGATACCGGGGTGAAATTATAATTTATCGATCGAGTCGGAGCTACCGGATGGCATGAATTAAAGATGAGCTGGCACCGGCGCGGCTACGCCAGAGAACGGGGAAGCCACTCTTCCGAGAGCCGGCTAATAATTGTATTCGCACATACCTTTCGTCCGCGGCATTAAAAATCTCCCTTTTCTTTCGTCCGTAGACGATCCCGCGTGATTGTCGCGGGAAACACGCCCAGCTGGAGGAATGCTGGCACCGATTCGATCGCTAGTGAAAAAACGAAAGGAATCCGAGAGAAACTCGTGTTCGATTAGAAACGTCTCACTTGACAACTGTCGTTGGTTTCGTTACTTGATTGTCGCCAGTTCGTCTTGTACGGAATTTACTAGTATGTGCTAGTATACGAGATAATATTTTTGTAAGAAATTTGTATTCTCATTCAGAATGAGATCTGTGATCGAGACAGGGTATTGAAGATTAAAATATTATAAGAGATTTTTTTTTTCAAGATCATTAATTATTGGCTTCTTCTTATTTCGACTCTGAAGAAGCATACTATATCAGCAATTTTTCACATGTTAATATGATTTGTTTATTTTATACTTTACTAAAAAGTAAAGAGTTTTAGCATTTGTTTGTCGAATTGTTTGCCCCACTTTCCACCAAGTTCTTGAAGTTTTTTTACGTTGAATCCTTATTGAAATTAAACAATCAAAATACATTGAGAACTTTCAGATTCTACCATCCAAATGATAATGATGAAAGAATTTAAATTTTAGAAACGCTCGTTTTCTTTTTAGAAATTATCATAAAATACGAGGTTCTTCAATAAGTAAAACATTACTTCAGTTTCATTAGAAAATTTTCTTCAAGAACTAAAGAATCTTTTTACATTTCGAGAAAATACGGAGCATAAAATTCTTCGACGTGTGAAAGCTCGCGTTATATTACAAAGAAATACTCATTTCTCGTTTGATATAGAGATATATGGGCTGAAAAAGAAAGTTGTTCGATTCCCTACGTTCCTCGCCAGACTACGCGACTCGCGAAAGTAACTACAAGTTTATCCTCGCAGCGCGCAAGCTACTTCTTTCCGAAAATCGAACTGTTGCCTTCGCGTTTCACCTTTGACGCGTGGCAACAAACACGTCCCCTTGCTAGTCACTTTGAAACTCAATTTCAACAATAAAAAGAAAAAAAAGGAAAAGTAAAGAAAAACGAGAACTGCACATGGCTCTCCCCCGGCCAAGATTACTTTCGAACAGCACCGCCCCA